GCCTGATGCGGGGCTCAGTCCCACAACTGACCATGAAATCATGACCTGAGCCAAAACCAAGAATCAGACACTTAACGGACTATGCCGCCCAGGCACCCCAATTTTTTTTTTTTTTTAAGTTTTATTTATTTCAGAGAGAGAGAGGATGCAGGAGTGCGAACAGGGGGAAAGGCAGAGGAAGAGGGGATGCGGACTCCCTGCCGAGCGCAGAGCCCAGCTGGGGCTCTATCTCCTGACTGGGAGAGCGTGACCTGAGCTGAAACCAAGAGTCAGACCCTCAACTGACTGAGCCACCCAGGTGCCCCTAAACAGTTTTGAAAACCATAAAATTTTACCATAAGTAAATGTTTCACAAGTTCAGGATTATAGAGCCCTTCTGTATTGATTTCATACCTCTAAAGTTCATTTACTTTTGACATGATAAAGAGCACACAGATTGAATAATTGAGTCAAGACTGTACTTGTGGGGCACTGGGTGGCTCAGTCATTAAGTGACTGCCTTCGGCTCAGGTCATGATCCCAGGGTCCTGGGGTCGCATCCCGCATCGGGCTCCCTGCTCGGCGGGGAGTCGGCTTGTCTTTCTCCGTCCTCACGCCCCTACTCCCCACCCCCCAATTCGGGCTCTCTCTCAGAGAAATAAATAAAACCTTAAAAAAAAAAAAAAAGACTGTATTCGTTTTCCAAGGCATCCCCAAAGAAACCTTGTGAAACAATTTGAGATTATTTCTAACCATAGGCCTAATTTATTTAGTTTTTGAGGCAAAATTTCTTTTGTAGCATATGTATTAAAATTAGTCACATGAAATATTTGCTAATGTGATTAAATTTTAGCTGTAAAATTCTGTAAATAACCAGAATATTTTTAATTGAGAAAAACAGTACCATCAAAAATTAATTGGATGTGATAAATTTTAATATTGAATAAAGTGTAAAAGAAATAATCATAATACATTGGTTTGTTTGTTTGTTTTTTATAGTGATTATATATATCTATTTATTTTAGATTTCCTTTCCTGGATGAAAATGTCGTCTCCTTTCTAAATTCCCTACCGGTTTGGGAAAAGGCAAACTTGACTTTCCCCCGTGGAATTGGTGAAAAACTAATTTTGCGTCTTGCAGCAGTGGAACTTGGCTTAACAACCTCTGCTCTTCTGCCAAAACGGGCCATGCAGTTTGGATCCAGAATTGCAAAAATGGAAAAGAATAATGAAAAGGCATCTGATAAATGTGAAAGGCTCCAAGTCATTTCCTTAGAAAACCTTTCTATTGAAAAGGCGATTAAAACGTAATACTTCACAATGTAACAATATTTACTGAATAATGATTATGTAAAAATAAAACACTCTGCTCCTCTATTATTATATAATGTGGTATTAAGGTTCATTACATGAATTTTTACTTAGCTATATAACTTAATATAACCAATTTAGTCAAATTAACACTGGAGAAAAAGAAACACTTGAAAGAACAACTTGGATGTTTGAAGCTGTGATACTAACATTACTTTGAGCTCTTACATGGTAATGTCCCACCGGCAACACTAAAAGAAGAAAGCAGGTTTCACCGAGTCTTCTCTTGGTAGCTACACCCAGAAATAACTCAGTTTCTTGTTGTCAGGAGCCTGGCTGAAACAGGCTGTTTGACAGATGAGAGAACTACGGTTTAGAGAAGCTAAACAGTTTGCTTGAGGTTCACATTCCTGAGCAACACTTGTTACTTCTGTTACATCTCTTTAGGCAGCTAGTTTTCCCACTCAGAGCTTCTGATGATTTTAAGCGTTCTCCTGTCCCCAAAATCTCTAGCCTCCTGTCTTTGCCTCATTCTCAGCTCATGACCTGGGCTTTTCACAGAGAATCAGTCATCAGGACAAGAAATGCCTACACTTTCCAACACCAGAACTTTTTTTTTTTTTATTTTTTGTTTTTTTAAGATTTTATTTATTTATTTGACAGAGAGACACGACGAGAGAGGGAACACAAGCAGGGGGAGTGGGAGAGGGAGAAGCAGGCTTCCCGCTGAGCTGGGAGCCTGACGTGGGCCTTGATCCCAGGGTCCTGGGATCATGCCCTAAGCCAAAGGCAGACGTAACGACTGAGCCACCCAGGCGCCCTCCAACAACTGTCAAAAGGCTGTGTCTCCACCTGTTCTCTGTATCCCAACCCTTCTTGCCTTATAGGAGTCTTACACTCCTCTCTCCTGTATCTTCAGCCTCTTTGTAGGATCCTTCCTATCATTTAAAGTGTTCTGGTCTAACTAATTTAGAATATACATACCTGGTTCTGTATCTTCCTCTGCTTATCATCTCTTGCCTCCCATCCACACTCACCCTCTGCACCTTTATGTCTCAACTCCACTCCGGCCTGACATCCACCCACTTTAGTCAGCTGTGACCACCATACCAAGGTCACTGGGGTCTATCCCCAATTAGGGCTGACACCCTTTCCGGACCTGGACATACTTCGATTCTTTTAATCTTGGTGGGAAAGTAGTTTTAGGATACTGACAAATGGAAACCTGTCAGACTTTCACATGCTCTGAATTTATCCTCTGGGAAATGCAATGCTCAAACCATATTTAGATACTAACTTTAATAGCTTTCATCCTTTTACCTAAGGGCGGACAACTTAAAGTATCTATGTGGTTCCGAGCACCAAATTGACATTGCTCCTATCAGGAATAGATAAACTAAGAGATTTGCCTAGCAGCCTAGATTTGAATATAATAACTTTTATGGTAACAATATAGTTCAATCCTAAAAACATCTATCATTTATACAGTGATGATTATGTGGCAGGTGCTACTTTATGAGCTTTGCATGTATTAATCCAATTGAACCTCGGTAGGGAATTTCCAGGTCATCTGCTCCAGCATTTTGTTTTGTCCCCAGAGAGCCTAATTCTTTAGAACTTTCTTACTACTTAATTCCATAAACCCTGGGATGAAGTTCTGTGTTAGTCCTTAAAACAATTTTCCCAAGATTTGAGACACTTAGAACAAACCATCTGGTACCTGAGCAAAAAACATGTCAGTAGAAGAGTCTATACAGATTGTTCATAAATGCAAACATGCAAACTTGTTACAGAAGCAGTGACGTTTTTACATCCCTGCCCTGGAACAGCAATCATAAATTTCTAATACTACCTCCATAGCAGCTAAAATCATGACGTGATTGGACTAAGAAATTCTGCCCCCCAAAAGTCACTAAAACACCCACGTTGGTACATTCAGTGGAAAAGTTCAAGTTATCCCCCTTGACCTAGCAGGAGCAGACAATGAAGTTGGGCATTCCCTTATTCACAAAACACTTCTCTTGGCTTCTGTGCCCAAACCTGGTTTTCCTCCTGCCTTCCTGGCTGCTCGCCCTTTGTGTTCTTTGCTGATTCCATCCTCTCCTCCTGACCTTTAGATACTAAATTTCTCAGGTTTCCGTCCTGGGTTCCAAACTTCTCAATTCTTTCCCTTGGTGATTTCAGCCACTCTCTTGGCTTCACTCACCCTAAGCCTGCCCAAATGTATGCATCTACCCCAACCTGCCATTCTTAGCCTGGACCTGACATGTATATTTAAGGCATTCCTGGCATCTCTACTTAGTTCTGTCACCGGTACATCAAGGTCAATATGTCCACAGCTGAACTCTTAATCTTGCCCTGATTCCCCATTTCTCCTGACAGAAATTTGAGTGTCATCTGGATAACCACTTTCTTATTTTTTTAAGATTTTATTTATTTATTTATTTGAGAGAGAGAATGAGAGAGAGAGCGAGCATGAGAGGGGGGAGGGTCAGAGGGAGAAGCAGACTCCCCGCTGAGCGGGGAGCCCGATGTGAGACTCGATCCCGGGACTCCAGGATCATGACCTGAGCCGAAGGCAGTCGCTTAACCACCTGAGCCACCCAGGCGCCCAACCACTTTCTTTTTTAAACACCACCCACATTCAATGTCGCCACCTCATTATTTCTCAAATCCATCCATAGCCCTGGATTTCCACTGCCACACACTCTAGCCTGTACCTAGCATCTACTGCCACCAACCTAGCCCAAACCTTTAGAAAAAAGTTCAAAATCATTAACTCAGCAACCCGGGTGATGAGGCCCTCACCTGCCTCTATGGCCTAATTTTGTGCCCATCGTCTTTCTAGTTCTTTAGGCAAGGTTTTGTTTGGTTTCTCAAAAAGTTCAACTTCCTTCTCAACTGGATTCTTCATCACCTGTTGTTCCCTATCCCTGGAAAGGTATTTCTCCAACTCTGCTTGGATAGCCCTTTGTCATCTTCCAGGCTGTTTAAAATATCACTTCCTCCCGGCAGCCTTTCCCAGCCCCTAGTCTCCGTTTGATTTCTTTCGTGTGCTGTCATTACATCTCATATTATCACCTGTTTAAATATAATTTTATGACTATCTGTGTTAACTATAAGCCCCTTGAGCTTATGTGTCTGTCCTGTTCTCCAAGGTCTCCAAGTCCCGGCACACAGTGCCTGGCTCATAATAAGGGTTCGGTAAATATTTGCTGAGTGAAAGAATAATGATGCAGGTGGGATTCCAACTCAGGAACCTGGCGCCTTTGCCTCTGCCACTCTGGATTTGCGTTTTCGTGGAGGCAAACTGTGAAAGTGAAAAGTGATGGGGAAGCACAGTGCTCAGAGCATGAGGCGGGATTGAGGGGAGGGGAAGGGAGGGGCAGTGACACCTCTCGGAAAATTCAGCAGTGCCAAGCGAGCGTCACGCCGCCCGGAAGCACTGCTCAAGGGCGCACAGGGGCGCCCCCTTGCGGGGCGGCCGAGCCGTCCTCGCCCGAGGACCAAGGGCTTCCAGGCGCGCGGGTTCTGGCCAGAGGTGGAGGGCTCCCAGGAGGGCCGCGTGAGCGGGCGTTCCCCGGAGGTCGCTGCAGGAGAGTCCCTCTCAGGTCCTACCTGCAGAGGCTCCTCCTTGCCCTTGCCCACCAGGGGCTCCTGAAGGTGAGAAGCCATTCAGGGCGACGGCTGTCTCCAGCTCCCACGAATATTCTGGGGACCAGAGTGGACGCAGCTTCCTTCTCCTGGACAAGAAAACAATCATTCCAAAGTAAGTTTCTTCCCTTCCCTGTCCTTTCCCCTCTTTCGTGTCCATGTGGGCATAGGTCTTGGACCAGACCTGGGTTGGTTCCGATTCTTTAGGTATGAAACCATAGGCACCTTCCTAGTCTCCATCTCTGCGTCTACACAGTGATGGGTACCAACGCCTACCTCAAAGAGTTGGGTTCTCCAAGTGTCCTGTCTGAACTAGCAGCATCAGCATCACCTCTAACTTTTCAGAAATGCAAATTACCCAGCTCACCCCAACAGACTGAATCAGAAACTCTTAAGCAGGGTTCATCAATGTTTTAACAAGCTCTAGGTGGTTTCGATGCAGGGCAAATGTTAAGAATCACTACATGAGAGGCGCCAATTAAATGAAATAAGTAAAATAGTGTGTATAAAGAGCTGGGCAAATAGTAGACGCTCAAAAAATAGTGGTTATGATCATTTTTATTCCAAGAACAGAAAGGCATTTAGTTACATAGAAACAGAAAGTTAAATAGGCTCTTCTTGTCGTTCCTTTTCTTTTAAGCAGGTCTTTATTTTCTTGCTTTAAAAAATCTAAAAACAAAATAAACATATACAAAAAGGCTTCTCCAACAAAAAAGAATAGGTATGCAACAGTACCTTCTCTACAAACATTTCTTTTTGACATACTTCTTAGTATCTTTTGACTTTTGAAAAGCAGAACATGATTAATGTTTAAAGATTTCACTTTTTAAATTGTTTTAATTCAAATCTCAACTTTCTTATGGTGTAATTAGTTTAAGACTGAAAATCGTAATAGAACTGCCATATGATCCAGCAATTCCACGTCTGGGATTTTACCTGAAGAAAATGAAAACATTAACTCAAAAAGATATATTCACTTCCATCTTCATTGCAGCATTATTTAGAATAGTTTAGATATGGAAACAACCTAAGCATCCATCAACAGATGACTGGACAAAGAAAATGTGGTTAAATGTATACAATGGAATATTCAGCCATAAACAAGAATGAAATCTTGCTATTTGCAACTACACGGATGGAACTTTAGGGCATTATGCTAAATGAAATAAGACAGACAAATACTGTATGATCTCACTTATATGTAGAGTTAAAAACACACACAAGCTCATAAATACAGGAAACAGATTGGTGGTTGCCAGAGGAGGGGATTGGGGGGTTGGGGAAGCTGGAGGGAGTCAAAACTACAAACCTCCAGTTATAAAATAAGTAAGTCATGGGGATGTATTGTATAGCATGGCAACTATAGTTAATAATACTGCACTGCATTTTGAAAAGTTGCTGAGAGAGCAAATCTTAAAAGTAGGGATCACAAAAAACAATTTCGTAACTATGGATGATGATGATGTTAGCTAGACTTATTGTGATCATTTCAAAATATATACAAATATTTAATCATTGTGTTGTAGACCTCAAACTAATGTTTATGACAAGTACACCTCAATTGTTAAAAATGTTATTCAAAAAAGATTGAAAACTATCATAGCTGACCATGAAACAACCTAATAAAGATAAAGGTACAGATTTATTTGAGAAATCCAGCTTCATTACCATGACAAATTTCATTGCCTGTCTTTTCCTTTATGGTTCATTGCAGAAACTTCAGAAAGGCCACCTACAATTAGTAAGAAATGTTAAGATTGCCCAAAAAGGGATTACCTAGACTTGATCAAATTCAAGATGAAGAAACCTACCTGGAAAACTTAGCAGTACAGAGAAATGCTTCTGCTTTTTTTGAAAAATATGATCGGAGTGAAGTACAAGAGTTGCTAACTACTGCCCTAGTCAGCTGGTTGTCTGCCAAAGATGACATCTGCTCTCAAATGGACCTCCCATGTGGAATTATGACTCAAATGAATAATGTAGGTTTCTCCACTGCCATCCTGCTGACTCCTGTGGACCCTACTGCCCTCTTAGACTATAGAGAAGTCCATCAAATCATAAGAGAGTTGGCTGTTGGAATTTATTGCTTAAATCAAATTCCCTCAATCAGTTTAGAAGCTAACTATGATCAGAGTTCTTCTTGTCAATTACCACCAGCTTATTATGATACCAGAATTGGGCAAATTCTGATCAATATTGACTACATGCTGAAAGCACTGTGGCATGGAATATACATGCCCAAAGAAAAACGCGCCAGATTCTCTGAATTGTGGCGTACTATCATGGACATTGATCCAGATGGGAAGCCTCAAACACATAAAGATATTTTTGCAGAGTTTAGTTCTGCAGGTAAGAGAATCTAACATGCTTTATTTTTATTGGAAGCCATCTTTTTAATTTAAAAGTAATTTATCTTTGTCTCAGTTGGAGTTTTCTGTTTATACTCCTTGTCTTACAGAGCCTAAGTAGGAAAATCAGTAATAGAGCCAAGAGTAGAATTTGAGTGCACTGAGAAAAATCTCCAAACTTGGAAAAGAAATGACTGCCAGGTTGGCTAGTCATCTACATTGACATTTTTATAAACCTCAAAAATGAATGACAGGAGAATTGAAGTGAAGGATAGATGTGCATCAGCAATCTAAGCTTTGGTATTTTAGTAGCATTTGGTTTAATAAGTATTTGTTCTTGATTCACCTAACTTTTAAATTCCTTCCTTCTGAGGGCCATATTTCTCTAAAGCCTGTATATTCACAACAGATACCACTAAATCCTGGTGCATCTCCCCAATATATGTAAATGTTTTATTGAGCTATTAAAAAAAAAAAAATCCCCTAAGTTCCTTTGTAGTAGGCCAAGTGGAATGGGGAGTAAATTGGGAAATGAGTGGTTCAGTGTTCCCAACTGCTTTCATTGATTAAATATAGCTAATCATTTTCTAAGTAGATTTCCATAGTTTGTGGGCACAGGCTTGAAAATAAGTCTCAATTCTGGTAAAAAATGTGTTAGAATTTCACTTGAGGGAGCACAGCAATAGATTTTACATAGATTTTAATCTCGCCTGAAACTAAAAAAGGATGACAGTTTGTCCTTCAGGAATAAAATGTCACTCAGACATTTCCTTTCTTGACTAGTCTGAGAACAGATCTGTTGATTTGCGTATTGCATTTAAATTGGCTGCACTTTAAGGAGGTTGATATTCAAAATACAATATTTTCAATTTTTATTCAGTTTTTTATACATAATCTTAATAAGTTTCCGCATAACCTCACTAAGGATGAAAAGGATTAATATTCTCCCCTAATTAGCCAGATTTCCCTTGGCTAAATAGAACTAATAACAGAAACTCTTAATGGTAGATCAGGTGGAAATGAACCACTTTTTATCTGAATCGTACATGTAACTGGGGAGAAAATTACCTGAAAACAACTTTAGTTTGTCAATGTAAGTCTGGTTACTAAAGCAAATACCTTGAGAACAAAATCAGTGGTTTCTTAGCTTCTCAATAAGATGTGGAAGAATTGTGACCTTTTGAATATTTAATACAGCTAATATGGTAAGGTAGTTTCATGCAGTTGTTTCATTGTTTTCTTATTTTTTTCCTTCTCTGTCATTGATAGCTAAATCAAAAATTATACACACACACATACAAAATGTACATATATGTGTTCATAAAGGGCTCTAGTTTGATTTATTCATTTTACAAATTTTCACTGAGTTTTTATTTCTAGCTAAGACACAAAAATAAGCTGATGTTAAGAACAAGTTAGCCAAAAAAAACAAGTTAGCAGTAAGCTTACATAAAAGCTCCATGAAAAAAGAACCCCTTACCTGCCTTGTTTATCCCTGTATGTTTTGTGCCTAAGACAGTCCCTGACACAAAGTAGGCATCAACTAATATTTGTTAAATTGAGTTAAATTAATTGAATTGAATTACACCTCTCTCTTTTTTAAAGATTTATGTATTTGAGAGAGAAGAAGCATGAGCCTGGGGTGGGGGGTGAGGCAGAGGGAGAAGCAGACTCCCCACTGAACGTGGAGCCTGATGTTCCAGCTCCATCCCACGACCCCGAGGTCATGACCTGAGCCAAAATCAAGAGTTGGCTGCTTATCCAACTGAGCCACTCAGGCGCCTCCAAATGACACCCCTTGAGGGGATTTCTACCATTACCAGTTGATCAGGTTGGAAATTAAGTCTAACAGGGATGTTCCAGAGGGATTTAGTAATTGTGAACTGAGGGAGCAGCTCCTCAGCAAACATGTCCAGTCAGGATGATGTTTAGGTACAATGGCTACAACTGGGCAGTTATTCCCAACCACCATCTTCAGTGATACACATCACCGAACACTCCTGAATCTTGGGTAGGACCTGAACCACAGAAGTGTGGGTTTGCTACCCATACTATTTACTGTTTCTGAAGCTGGACTGCTGTGAAGTTCAAGTACCTGAGAATAAGATTTGCTTGATGACAGTCAGGCAGCCTGATTCACTTGCGTTGGGTTTTCAGATATGTTGCCTTAGCGTACCAGCAAGCAGTACAGTCTCTTGAAGACGGTACTTCTGTGTCTCAAGGAGAGTTTAGATAGCTAATAGCTCTCATTTCCATGCAGGGTAATCAACTTCTGTTGAGAACAGGCCCCGAGTGTAGTGAGTATAAGGCAGAAATTCTCCTCTGGGAGAGAATTACTCAATCTGTGATGTCGATGGAGTAAAAGCTAATGCCACCTGGCTAAGTGCAGAGTACCATAGGATTGGAGGGTCAGTAGCTTCTAGAAGATTATAGCTGGAACTGGAACTAACAAATCCTTTCTTGTTGTTCAGGTCCTTGAGGTGATAAGGTTGAAGAAATGCAAAGTATTGCCAGTAATATCTAGTGAATTCCATTCATTTCTGTGTTCCCTTGACAGTTCCCTCTTAAAGGACACTAACATTTTGGCATTATGTAGATGCATTATTGAAGAGAATATGGCACAGCCAAAGTCTTAAAAATATGTTAGTGTTTGCCCAGAAGTACTATCATTACTGGTAGTATAGGACCTCCAAGGATAGCTCAGGTAATATAAACAAAATATAGCTAAATTAAGATGTCCTTTTGGTAGATGATGACTCTTCTATCCTGGAAGTTGTTGAATGATTCATTGGCTAATCACTGGAAGACAGCAGGAAACAATGCACAAGCCAGATGATGTCTCTCTTTAATCGAATTAGCCAAAATGTGTCTGGAAAACTAAGCTGCATGGTTTGCCCTTCCTGACCGAGATGATGGCAGGAGCTTTGTGAAGATTTGAGCTCCATGGAGATTAAGGATCAGCAGGAATTGATAGTGGTTTCCAATGATGTTTGAGACTTGACAATCCTGACAAAAATTGGGTTTGCTTTTCTTCCCTTTTTACAAAGATTACTTGGAACCATCATTCCCACCTGGTATTTGTCAAGCCAGGCAAAGGCCAGAGTTGAGAGATTTGACTGGTAAGGAAACAACATGCCCTTTTTAGATTCAGATAATTTTTTTTCCCAGCTACATGTACAATTCCGATAAAAGTGGTTCATTTCCACCTGATTTACCACTAAATATGCTTCGGGCACTGCGATAATGGTATAGTGCAAACAATAGTGAATGACCAAGCAGAACACACACAAGACATGTATGGGGGAAACTCACAGAAGCGGGAACAGGTATGGGTTCCCCATCATGTACCACATCCGAAGCATCACTGTGAAATCTTGCAGGGCCAAGTGTTGGACTTGGGGACAGGAACCCAGACTCAGGCTGTGAGGCTTTTATGCTGCATGATCAAGGAAACACCAGGTCAGAGGCCAGATACAAGAGCAATGTGTATTAGCCTAGGTTACCCCCAAATTAGAGCCTGAAATGAGGGCTAAAGTCAGGGTAGTTTATGGGAAATGACTCCAAAGAACAGAAGTGAGGGACAGGAAAAGTGAATAGAAAAGGAGGGAACATCAATCCAAGGATGCGCTGCTGAGTTTTCACCCCTTGGGCCATGGAGGTCCATTTTGTAGAGACTCTCTGAGGAGTCCCATAGAATACATTTCAGAGTTGTCAGCCCAAGGGATAGAAGAGGGCAGTATGTATCCCCTGGCTCCTCTTCTCTGTTGGTCAACGCCCTCACACTCTAGATTTGTTCATGCATCAGAATGACTGGATGGGTTCCATCAAAAGTCTAACACAGCAGTGGTAGGGAAGTCGCAGGGCAAAAATAAGAACCATGTGGTGCGTCAGAAGCAAAGCACATTCAGGTTATGTTTTTGTGAAGCTGGTCAATGCAACAACAGCTGGAGTGAAAAATACAGTCTAGGAGGAAGTGAGATAGAGAACAAAAGGTGTCTGATATACAGTGTGACTCATGGAAACTTGGCTCCAGCCCTATCCTCCTCAGTGTTTGAGGTAGAGAAGGAATACCACTCCTCCACTGACTTGATCAGAGAACTGGGATCCAAGCCTTGTAGTTGTAGCTATATGATGACAAGCTAACAGCAATAAGTTCTAGATCATCACTCATATTTGGAGAAATGGCACTGCCATGACTGGGAGATTGGGTTCAAGCCTTGCAAATGACCATGTCATTACCTTAAACATTGTGCTAATGTGGATTTCCAAGGAACTTTGCAGGAGGCCAACTCTTTTTCTAGGAGGGCAGATGGCTAAGAATCAGTCTGGCCATGTTAAACTTTATTTACCTCTCCGATTTGCAATTTATAAAACAACCAGCAAACACCACTTTAAAAAAAAAAAAAAACAGTAGCAACAGCTGTAGAGAACAGAGCACACCAAAATCTGGTCATATTTCCAGTTTTCTGTAGGGGATTTTATTTTATTTTAATTTAATTTTATTTTATTTTTTAAAGATTTTATTTATTTGACTGAGAGAGACACAGTGAGAGAAGAAACACAAGCAGGGGGAGTGGGAGAGGGAGAAGCAGGCTTCCCGCCGAGCAGGGAGCCCGATGCAGGGATCGATCCCAGGACCCTGGGATCATGACCTGAGCCGAAGGCAGACGCTTAACAACCGAGCCACCCAGGCGCCCCATGTAGGGGATTCTAATTATGGAGGGTTTCTTGATCTGAGTAATTCTTGGCTTCTCTGATTTATTACAGTAGGTTTGTGGGATGAGGGGAAAGAAAGAAAACATATTCTTGTGATAGAAAAATGTGGAGGGGATGACTTTTAGTTAAAATACATACATATCTATCTATCTATCTATCTATCTATCTATCTATCTATCTATCTATAAAATTCACAACTGGTAAAGTGAAATGGTTTTTGTTGTTTTTCTTCAGGCCTCTGCTCATTCCCTGTCCTTTATCTGTAATGGCTTCTCCCTGCCACTTCTCCCCATTCTTCCACATTCTTCCCCAGGTTATTGCTACTCATTTCCCAAGACTTGATTCAGATACAGCCTCCTCTCTTCTATGCACACTGTGTCATTTTTGTATTGAAATTACTGATTTCATCTGTCTCCCTTATTAGCCCTTAAGCTCCTCCTCAAGAGCACAGAAAAGTAGGTCTTTTTCTTCTTTAAATTCCTCAGCACCTCATACTGTGCTTGGCACAATGTAAACTTTCAATACATGTGGAAATTAAGCAGTTGATAACAAAGTGTGAGAGAAAAGGAAATGAAGGAGACTCTAGAGTTTCTAGTTTGAGGAACTGATAGAAAAATAGTAGCATTAACCACAAAAGAAAGAAAGCAGATTTGGGGGAGAGGAAGGATGAATTTAGTTTAGGAGTGTTTCTGTGACCTTCAGATAAAGACATGTATTAGGCATTGAGAAAGAATCGAGTTCAGGACCAAAAGCAGGGCAGAAGATAAGACTAAAAGAAATTAACATAGAGGTTAAAACAATGGAGTCTTGTGTTTCTTCTTCTTCATCCTCCAAATTTAGTTATATCCAGTTTTTTTTTTATTAAATCCTTTCTCTTTTTTTACTTTATTATGACTTTGTACATATGATTTGCATAACGTGTTGCGATCACATTTCCTTTCTTTAATAACTTTATTTTGGGGGACATGAACTGTGTCATTTAAAAAAATTAGCTAAGTTTTCCAATTCCACTTCCAGCTCCTCTCAGTAAAGTCAAATACCAGGTGGTGCAGCAATTCCATTTTTTCCCTTAGAGCTGTCTCTCTCCACACCTTCAGTCTCCTCTTTCTATCTAAACTGGTTGATTCTTTTCTAGGCACTTTCCGTTAGGGCTTTCTAAAATCCTCTCCCCCATTCTCAGCCCTCCGCCACTCTGCCCCGCCCCGCGGCCTCCTCCACCCTCGCTTCCCCTTCCCTCCCCTCCCTTCGCGGCTTTCCTCCTCTCCCTTCCTCTTCTTCCCCCTTGCCGTCTCTGCCCAAATTCAAGTCCCTGTCTTTTCACCTGAGAGGTTCTCCTCACCTGTGTGGAGATGCTCGCAGTTTGTTCTCATTTAGGAGTGCGGCAGGAACAGGGCTTGCTCACTGGTACACTGCACTGTAGTGGGATCAGAAAGAAACCTTGTCCTTTCACTGGGGAGCCTCTTCCTAAATGCTCTATCTGTAGGTCTTTCCTCTTTGATCGATCTGTTTCCTGCAGTCTCCTGCCTGGTTGGAGGGCAAGTCCTGGGCCAGAGGAGGGGGAGGGGCTTTGGATCTCTCTCCAGCGCGCAGACTCTCACTGTTCCCGGTTTTCAGCTCAGCTGCTCAAACCTTTTAGAGAAGAAGGGGAGGGGTTGTGCTATCGGGGGAAGGCGATCTGGGGGTGTCACTGCACGTTAATCAGACTTTGAACCAATCTTTTCTGCTCCTCCCCCTCCTTTTTTTTTTTTTTTTTTGTAATTCCAACGCTAGGACCGGTCCTCAGAGGTACCACGTGCTTCCAATTTCTAAGCCTCCTCCCCTTGTTGGGGGAGGGAGGGTTAATTCTAACACTGGGACCTGTCGGTCAGAGAGGTTCCACGTCCTTCCAACTTACTGCCTTTCTTGGTGAGAAGAATTGACTTTGCCTATTGGCTCCAGCCACCTCAGGCTCCAAAGTTTTAGAGATGTCAGCAAATACTCTGGCTTATGTTCAGATTCTTTTAGAAATACTTTAATACTTTTCAGAAATACTTTAATTTCTTTATAATTTCTTAATTTAACTTTTGCAAAAGGGAAGTGAATCATATTGGCCATTTAAAAATCCAAGTATATTCTGGCTTTTATTGTTTTTTTTTTAATAGATTTGAGGAAGGACAAAAAGGAAAAAGAAAGGGAGGCACATTGATCTATCATTTGCACTTTTAAGTCACATATGTTACAGACTCCACATTTTCTATCAAGACATTTTATGATTCTATGCAGTTTTCTCAAGCTTAGATTAAGGGTAACATTTTAAGTGTAACTGTCCTTAAAAAGACAATTTGACAACAAGGAAGTCCTTAATTTCATTATAAATAGGAAGAAAATGTAACAGGAAATTTGTCAGAGTAAAATCAAGTTTTAATTCTTATTTATTTCATCACAATTAGTTAGCAGGAAAGTTCTCTATTGTATATGTTTAGCTTCTGATATCAGCAAAAAAAAAGAAATGTGTAATAGAAGGCTTGAAAAAGCAAATTATACTTTTAGCCAAGTGAAAAGCTGAATTCCTGCTTAAAGGGAGATCACACTGGCTGTCCAATTTTCCCAACACCATTTGTTGAAGAGACTGTCTTTTTTCCATTGGACATTCTTTCCTGCTTTGTTGAAGATTAGTTGACCATAGTTACCCTGATTAAATATGGGACTTACATTGTGTTTCTTGCCTCCAAAGGGAATGGAAATCTATTCTAATTCTACAAGCTTTCATCTTTCTTTATTCTGCATGGTTACCGCTCATCCATGTGCTTTTCATCTTTAACAAATTTTTTGGCATCTCATTATTTCTTTATTGTCACGTTAGTAGGATTTCAAGATGAAACCCGGTGTTCAATCTCCTCTATTTATGCAGAAGCCAAGTATGATGTTTTCACTATCTACATTTTTTTTTCTTTTACTGTTAAGGTCTGATTGATATTACGAAGGATCCAGACTTTAATGGAATCTATGATGAAGACATGAATGAAGATCCAACATATAACCCCAATGGCTCTGAAGAAAAAGCTGTTTTTATGAAATATGCTGAAAACACTATGCTAAAATTAACATTCAGTACCACACAAGTTCAACAGTATGAAAATGTTTTTATATTTGAAACAGCCTATTGGCTTACAAATGCTATAAAATGTAATCAAGATCATCTTGATATTTGTACCTACCAGAAACTACAGCAAAGATTATATCTTCAGAAAAAGATTATTCAAAAACACTTTGAGAAGAAAAAAGAAATCAGAAGAGGGATAGGATACCTAAAGTTAATATGTTTTCTGACTCCCTTTCTACTGAGTTTAAAAAAGAAGATGAAAGTTCCATATTTAAGTAGTCTGCTTCCACCTTTTTCAGGTAAGCGTATCAACAAAAATCAAATATAAAATAATTATATATATATGTAATTTATATTTATTTATTTATTTTATTTTTTATTAACATATAATGTATGATTTGTTTCAGGGGTACAGTTCTGTGATTCATCAGTCTTACACAATTCACAGCACTCACCATAGCACATACCCTCCCCAGTGCCCATCACCCAGCCACCCCATCCCTCCCACCCACCTCCACTCCAGCAACCCTCAGTTTGTTTCCTGAGATTAAGATTCTCTTCTGATTTGTCTCCCTCTCTGGTTTCATCTTGTTTCATTTTTCCCTCCCTTCCCATATGATCCACTGTCTTGTTTCTCAAATTCCTCATATCAGTGAGATCATATGCTAATTGTCTTTCTCTGATTGACTTATTTCACTTAGCATAACACACTCTAGTTCGAACCACATTGTTGCAAATGCCAAGATTTCATTTTTTGATGGCTGCATAATATTCCATTCTATATATATATACCACTTCTTCTTTATCCATTCATCTGTTGATGGACATCGTGGCTCTTTCCATAGTTTGGCTATTGTGGACATTGCTGCTATAAACATTGGGGTGCATGTGCCCCTTCAGATCACTACATTTAAATCTTTGGGGTAAATACCCAGTAGTGCAATTGCTGGGTCATAGAGTAGCTATATTTTCAATTTTCTGACCTCCATACTGTTTTTCCAGAGTGGCTGCACCAGCTTGCATTCCCACCAACAGCGTAGGAGGGTTCCCCTTTCTCTGCATCCTCGCCAACATCTGTTGCTTCCTGACTTGTTAATTTTAGCCATTCTGACTGGTGTGAGGTGGTATCTCATTGAAGTTTTGATTTGGATTTCCCTGATGCCGAGTGATGTTGAGCATTTTTACATGTGTCTGTTGGCCATTTGTATGTCTTCTTTGGAAAAATGTCTGTTCATGTCTTCTGCCCATTTCTTGATTGGATTCTTTGTTCTTTGGGTGTTGAGTTTGATAAGTTCTTTATAGATTTTGGATCTAGCCCTTTATCTCGTATGTCATTTGCAAATCTCTTCTCCCATTCTGTCAGTTGTCTTTTGGTTTGTTGACTGTTTCCTTTGCTGTACAAAATCTTTTTATCTTGATGAAGTCTCAATAGTTCATTTTTGCCCTTGCTTCCCTTGCCTTTGGCGATGTTTCTAGGCTAGGAAGAAGTTGCTGCCGCTGAGGTCAAAGAGATTGATGCCTGTGTTCTCCTCAAGGATTTTGATGGATTCCTGTCTCACATTTAGGTCTTTCATCCATTTTGAGTCTATTTTTGTGTGTGGTGTAAGGAAATGGTCCAGTTTCATTCTTCTGCATGTGGCTGTCCAATTTTCCCAACACCAATTGTTGAAGAGACTGTCTTTTTTCCATTGGACATTCTTTCCTGCTTTGTTGAAGATTAGTTGACCATAGAGTTGAGGGTCCATTTCTAGGCTCTCTGTCCTGTTCCATTGATCTATGTGTCTGTTTTTGTGCCAGTACCATACTGTCTTGATGATGACAGCTTTGTAATAGAGCTTGAAGTCTGGAATTGTGATGCCACCAGCTTTGCTTTTCTATTTCAACATTCCTCTGGCTCTTTGGGTTCTTTTCTGGTTCCACACAAATTTTATGCTTATTTGTTCCATTTCTTTGAAAAAAGTGGATGGTATTTTTATAGGGATTGCATTAAATGTGTAGATTGCTCTAGGTAGCATAGACATTTTCACAATATTTGTTCTTCCAATCCATGAGCATGGAACATTTTTCCATTTCTTTGTGTCTTCCTCAATTTCTTTCATGAGTATTCTATAGTTTTCTGCGTACAGATTCTTTGCCTCTTTGGTTAGATTTATTCCTAAGTATCTTATGGTTTTGGGTGCAATTGTAAATGAGATCGACTCCTTAATTTCTCTTTCTTCTGTCTTGTTGTTGGTGTATAGAAATGCAACTGATTTCTGTGCATTGATTTTATATCCCGCCACTTTACTGAATTCCTGTATGAGTTCTAGCCATTTTGGGGTGGAGTCTTTTGGGTTTTCCACATAAAGTATCATATCATCTGCAAAGAGTGAGAGTTTAACTTCTTTGCCGATTCAGATGTGTTTTATTTCTTTTTGTTGTCTGATTGCTGAGGCTAGGACTTCTAGGACTATGTTGAATAGCAGTGGTGATAGTGGACATCCCTGCCATGTTCCCAACCTTATGGGAAAAGCTCTCAGTTTTTCCCCACTGAGAATGATATTTGCTGGGGATTTTTCATAGATGGCTTTTTATAATATTGAGGTATGTACCCTCTATTCCTACATTGTGAATTTTTTTTATATTATGTTATCTTAATCACCATACATTGCATCATTAGTTTTTGATGTAGTGTTCCATGATTCATTGTTTGCGTATAACACCCAGTGCTTCATGCAGAATGTGCCCTCTTTAATACCTATCACCAGGCTAACCCAGTCTCCAACCCCCCTCCCCTCTAGAACCCTCAGTTTGTTTTTCAGAGTCCATTGTCTCTCATGGTTCATCTCCCCCTCCGATTTACCCCCATTCATTCTTCCCCTCCTGCTATCTTCTTTTTTCTTTTAACATATAATATATTATTTGTTTCAGAACTACAGATCTGTGATTCAACAGTCTTGCACAATTCACAGCGTTCACCATAGCACATACACTCCCCAGTGTCCATCACCCAGCCACCCCATCCCTCCCACCCCCCACCACTCCAGCAACCCTCAGTTTGTTTCCTGAGATTAAGAATTCCTCATATCAGCGAGGTCATATGATACATCTTTCTCTGATTGACTTATTTTGCTCAGCATAACACCTCCAGTTCCATCCACGTCACTGCAAATGGCAAGATTTCATTCTTTTTGATGGCTGCATAATATTCCAGTGTGTGTCTGTGTGTGTGTGTGTGTGTGTGTGTATGTGTGTATATATATATATATATATATCACATCTTCTTTATCCATTCATCTGTCGATGGACATCTTGGCTCTTTCCACAGTTTGGCTATTGTGAACATTGCTGCTATAAACATCGGGGTGCACATATCCCTTCAGATCCCTACATTTGTATCTTTGGGGTAAATACCCAGTAGTGCAATTGCTGGATCGTCGGTAGCTCTATTTTCAACTTTTTGAGGAGCCTCCATACTGTTTTCCAGAGTTACTGCACCAGCTTGCATTCCCAACAATGGCCTACACTGTGAATAGTTTTAATCAAGAAAAGATGCTGTACTTTGTCAAATACTTTTTCTGCATATGGTTCTTGTTCTTTCTTTTATTAATGTATTGTATCACATTGATTGATTTGTGGATGTTGAACCAACCTTGCAGCCCAGGAATAAATCCCACTTGGTTATGGTGAATAATCCTTTTAATGTACTGTTGGATCTATTGGCTAGTATTTTGGTGAGATATTTTGCATCCATGTTCATCAGGTATATTGGTCTGTAATTCTCCTTTTTGAGAGAGTCTTTGTCTGGTTTTGGGATCAAGGTAATGCTGGCCTCATAAAATGAGTTTGGACGTTTTCCTTCCGTTTCTACTTTTTGGAACAGTTTCAGAAGGATAGGTATTAATCTTCTTTAAATGTTTGGTAAGGGGTGCCTGGGTGGCTCAGTCGTTAAGTATCTGCCTTTGGCTCAGGTCATGATTCCAGGATCCTGGGATTGTTGTCTGATTATTGTCCCCCAGGACCCTGGGGCTCAATCGGATTCCCTGCTCACAGGAAGCCTGCTTTGCCCTCTCCCCCTCCCCCTGCTTGTGTTCCCTCTCTCACTGTGTCTCTCTCTGTCAAATAAATAAACAAAATCTTTTAAAAAAAATAAATAAATGTTTGGTAGAATTCTCCTGGGAAGCCATCTGGCCCTGGGCTCTCGTATGTTGGGAGAATTTGGTTACTGCTTCAGTTTCCTTACTGGTTATGGATCTGTTCAGATTTTCTATTTCTTCCTGGTTCAGTTTTGGTAGCTTATACGTCTCTAGGAATGCATCCATTTCTTCCAGATTGTCTAATTTGCTGGCATATAGTTGCTCATCATATGTTCTTATAATTGTTTGTATGTCTTTGGTGTTGGTTGGGATCTCTCCTCTTTCATTCATGATCTTATTTATTTGGGTCCTTTCTCTTTTCTTTTTGATAAATCTGGCCAGGGGTTTATCAATCTTATTAATTCTTTCAGAGAACCAGCTCCTAGTTTCGTTGATCTACTCTACTGTTCTTTTGGTTTCTATTTCATTGTTTTCTGCTCTCATCTTTATTATTTCTCCTCTCCTGCTGGGTTTAGGCTTTATGTGCTGTTCTTTCTCCAGCTCCTTTAGGTGTAGGGTTAGGTTGTGTATTTGAGACCGTTCTTGTTTCTTGAGAAAGGCTTATAGTGCTATGTACTTTCCTCTTAGGACAGCCTTTGCTGTGTCCCAAAGACTTTGAACAGTTGTGTTTTCATTTTCATTTGTTTCCATGAATTTTTTAAATTCTTCTTTAATTTCCTGGTTGACCCATTCATCCTTTAGTAGGATGCTCTTTATCCTCCATGTATTTGAGGTCTTTCCAACTTTCCTCTTGTGATTGAGTTCTAGTTTCAAAGCACTGTGGTCCAAAAATATGCAAGGAATGAACCCAAACTTTTGGTATCAGTTGAGATCTGATTTGTGACCCAAGATGTGAGCTATTCTGGAGAACGTTCCATGGGCACTAGAGAAGAATGTGTATTCTGTTGCTTTTGGAAGAAATGTTCTGAATATATCTGTGAAGTCCAACTGGTCCAGTGTGTCATTTAAAGCCTTTATTTCCTTGTTGATCTTTTGCTTAGATGATCTGTCCATTTCAGTGAGAGGGGTGTTAAAATCCCCTATTATTACTGTATTATTGTCAATGTGTTTCTTTGATTTTTTGTTATTAATTTGCTTATATAATTGGCTGCTCCAGTGTTAGGGGCATAGATATTTAAAATTGTTAGATCTTCTTGTTGGATAGACCCTTTAAGTAGGATATAGTGTCTTTCCTCATCTGTTATTATAGTCTTTGGTTTGAAATCTGATTTGTCTGATATAAGGATTGACACCCCAGCTTTCTTTTGATGCCCGTTAGCATGGTAAATTATTTTCCATCCCCTCATTTTCAATCTGAAGTTCTCTTTGGGTCTAAAATGAATCTCTTGCAGACAGCATATCTATGGGTCTTGCTTTTTTATCCAATCTGATACCCTGTGTCTTTTGATTGGGGCATTTAGCCCATTTACATTCAGGAGAACTATTGAAAGATATGAATTTAGTGCCATTATATTGCCTGTAAGGTGACTGTTACTGTATATTGTGTCTGTTCCTTTCTGGTCTGTGTTACTTTTAGGCTCTCTGTTTGCTTAGAGGACCCCTTTCAGTATTTCTTGTAGGGCTGGTTTGGTGTTCACAAATTCTTTTAGTTTTTGTTTGTCCTGGAAGCTTTTTATCTCTCCTATTTTCAATGACACCCTAGCTGGATATAGTATTCTTAGCTGCATATTTTTCTTGTTTAGTGCTCTGAATATATCATGCCAGTCCTTTCTGGCCTGCCAGGTCTCTGTGGATAGGTCTCCTGCCAATCTAATATTTCTACCATTTTGGTTACAGACCTCTTGTTCTGAGCTGTTTTCAGGATTTCTCTTTGTCTCTGAGACTTTTAGATGTCGGGGTGTTGACCTATTTTTATTGATTTTATTAGATGTTGGGGTGTTGACCTATTTTTATTGATTTTAAGGGGCTTCTCTGTGCCTCCTGGATCTTGATACCTGTTTCCTCCCCCAAATTAGGGAAGTTCTCTGCTATTATTTGCTCCAATATACCTTCTGCCCCTCTCTTTCTTCTTCTTCTAGGATCCCAATTATTCTAATATTGTTTCATCTTATGGTATCACTTATCTCTTGAATTCTTCCCTCATGATCCAGTAGTTGTTTATCTCTCTTTTCCTCAGCTTCTTTATTCTCCATCATTTGGTCTTCTATATCACTAATTCTCTCTTCTGCCTCATTTATCCTAGCAGTTAGAGCCTCCATTTTTTATTGTACCTCATTAATAGCCTTTTTGATTTTGACTTGGTTAGATTTTAGTTCTTTTATTTCTCCAGAAAGGGATTCTCTAGTATTTTCTATGCTTTTTTCAAGCCCAGCTAGTATCTTTATAATCATTCTGAACTCTAGTTCCCACATCTTACTAATGTCCATATTGATAATGTCCATATTGATTAGATCCCTGGCAGTTGGTACTGCCTCTTGTTCTTTTTTTTTTTTTTTGAGGTGAGTTTTTCAGTTTTGTCATTTTGTCCAGAGAAGAATAGATGAATGAGAGAACAAAATGCTAAAAGGGTAACAATGACTCCAGAAAAATGTACACTAAAAAATCAGAAGAGACCCAAAACCAGGGGGAAAAGAAAGGAAAAAACAAAAGCAAAAAAGAATATGATCAGGCTGGTGAATAGAACAGAGCCACACACTAGATTTTGGGTTTATTTTGTTCCATTAGGAGAAACTGCCTCCCAAAATTTTAAAGAAAGAAAAACATATATATACAAAAATAAGGGTAAATATGATGAAGGGATGGAATATGATTGTAAAGATGAAAATTTAAAAAGATTTTTAAAAAGGAATTGATAGGATAAGAAGTTGGTTGAAAAAAGAAGGAAGAAAATTTAAAAAAAAAAAGAGAGAATGTGATCAAGCAGGAGACTAGAACAAAGCCATACACTAGATTAAGATACATTTTGATCTGTTAGAAGAAACTGTATCCCAAAATCTTAAAGAAAGGAAAACTCATATATATACAAAAAATAAGGTTAAATACAATGAAGGGATAGAATATGACTGTAAAAATGAAAATTAAAAAAGATTTTAGGGAGCCTGGGTGGCTCAGTCATTAAGCATCTGCCTTTGGCTCAGGTCATGATCCCAGGGTCCTGGGATCGAGTCCCGTATCAGGCTCCCTCCTCAGTGGGAAGCCTGCTTCTCCCTCTCCCACTCCTGCTACTTGTGTTCCCACTCTTGCTGTCTCTCTCTCTCTGTCAAATAAATAAATAAAATCTTTAAAAAAAAGATTTTAAAAAAGGAATTGATAAGATTTTGGTTGAAAAAGAAAAGAAGAAAAATTTTTAAAAAATAGAAAAAGTAAAAATAAAGAAAATTTACAAAATTAACTTTGAAAGACTAAAGAATCATGGGGGAAAAGCCATGAATTCTATGTGCTGTATTCCCCTAGTGCTGGAGTTCTGCCGTTCTCATTGATTGATAAACTTGGTCTTGGCTGGATGTTCTTGCTGATCTTCTGGGGAAGCCTGTTGCTGCGGTTCCCAAATGTCTTTGCCAGAGTCAGAATTGCCCCGCCCTTGCGGGGGCCAGGCTAAGTCATCTGCTTGGTTTTTCTCTCAGGAGCTTTTGTTCCCTGCAAGCTTTCTGCACAGCTTTGGAGGACTAGAATGAAAATGGTGGCCTCCCAATCTCTGCCCAGAGGAGCCAAGAACTCGGGGTCCCACTCCTCAGTGAGCCCCCAGAGAAAAGCAGTCCTGTCTCCCTGTTCTCCAGCTGCACTCCATGCTCACCAAGCCTATGACCGAGCATTTCTATCTCTGGCACACTACCCCGTGTGGAGTCTCCAAACCCAGCAGATCCCTGTGGAGCATTTCTGCACCGCTCCTCCCGGGAGAGGAAGGGGAGTCTCCCCAGATTTGCCACTTGTTGGGTCCCCGCTGGAGGAGCAGTGGCCCAACTGTGCCGCAGATCACGGTTTATGAAAACCCTGAGCTGAGAGCCCACTCCTGGGCTCTGTCTCTGCAGCCGGCTTCCCCGCTCCGATACCTGGGAGCTCTGCTGCACTCAGGCACCCCCGTCTTTCTGTGACCCCGAGGGTCCCAAGACCACACTGTGCCAGCAAGGGTTCCACCCCCCGCTTAGCCACTGGAGCAACGTCCCTCAGTGGAGCCAACTTCTAAACGTTCTGATTTTGTGGTCCGCTGCTCTATCACTTGCCAGAAGTGGCGGTCGGAGGCCCCCTCCCCTGCCATCTATCCTCCCGAATATCGCCTCGGATTCACTTCTCCGCATGTCCTACCTTCCAGAAAGTGGTCACTTTTCTGTTCATAGAATTGCTGCTATTCTTTTCTTCGATCTCCTGTTGAGTTTGTAGGTGTTCAGAATGGTTTGATAACTATCTAGCTGAATTCCTGGGACCAGACGAAATTTTGGTCTCCTACTTCCCCGCCATCTTCAGATAAATCTAAATTTATATTTAAATTCAATTTTGCTTATAGTAGGTGAGTCCAGGCATATAACCTTATTGTAGCCTGTTATGAAACAAAACAAAACAAAACAACATTTAATGTCTCCAAGGTAGTTAAAAATATTTGCTATATGTACATAGTACTTGGTATATGTTTATACCAATTATAAGGGCTATTAGAAGACTTAAAATAAATTTTGAGAAAAATAAGGAAATATGCCATGTTCATGATGGGACATATGATAGGCTATGAGTGTATCATATCTGATCTATAAACCTACAAATTCAATGCACTTCTATTCAAAATCCCTACTGTGTTTTTATGAAAGTTTATAAATTGATTCTGAAATTAATATGGAGCAGTAAAGGGTCATGAATAGTGTTAAATTTCTGAAAAAGAAATGAAAATATATTTCAAAACTTTACTAGGGTGTTAGTGCTGTTTACACAAATAAACCAATGTAAGAGAATAGAGAGCTGAAATAGGACCGTACTTACGTGGAATTTGACAGGCATGTAGTGCAAACTATTCCCTGCACCCAGATTAGCACACAATTTATATATTTTCATTGGTGCCCAAACATGTAGGCTTATTATGATGGGCTTTCTATTCAAGTGGCAAATTTTCAGTAGGAATTTTGCAAATCATTTAATGAAAATTTGTATCATAAGCATTCAAATGGTGAAAATGATTACACTTATCTGTGAACTACTTAAAAATGGGCTCATGACCATTCTTATCCTGGGGTGGAGGTAGGAGGACAGGTGTATGGAACTAAGACCCTTCATTAAAAAGAATGTTAGCTATATTTGTAATGTTTTATTACTTAGATTAATTGGAAGCAAATATGACTAAATATTAATAGTTCCAGGTGGTGATATTAGGGTGTTATATTATTCCTTGTACTTTTCTGTACCTTTTACATTTCTCAAAATACGTTATATGTTTTACATTGATGAAACCATATTCTGCTAAGAAGTCAAAATATTGGACAAACCTAATCATTACTGGAGTTTTAGAAAATTATTTTTCTAAAATAAATGTTATATGTGTGGTTTTATTACTTTCCAAAAAAGTGAGCTGGTTATTTTTGTCAGTGAGAGATACCCACCTATTTCTTTTTAATGTCTCTTTTTGCCTGAACCAGCTCAGTTTAAGTTTTCATTTATTTTGCCCAAGATTCTCTGAGGCATAGTTTCAAATATTTTCTAACAATTGGAGGTAAAGATATTAGTCTTGAACTCACACATAGAAATCAATAAGTAGAATAATGGTTTGACTCTTCCCTTGAAATGTCTATACAATGAAACTAAAATGTATGCTATAAATACATTTTCGTGTTTAAAATATATATTAAGGCCATGATTTTAGAGACTATAATTGCCAAGATTTTCTTTAATGTGGATTTTTTTTCACTTGGTTTATGTAAATAAGAATCTAGATCTTCAAAATATGATTGTGTATGTGTTGTTTTCACTTCTAAATTAAAGTTTGTTTTCATTTTTGGAGATGACAAGGTCAAGACAGAGCGAGAATTGCCTCCATTTATTTATGGACGAGATTTTAAATGCCAGCATTTTCACTACAAAGAGGATCAATATTTTCATGTTCATGGAGGAATTGAATTTGATATCAGCACACCTTCAATTGAGAATGCTTTGGAAGATTTTAAGGTTTAAATTATTATTGTTTCTGAAATGGTTTGTCATTTCACAACTCTTTTATTTTATTCTCCATCCAGAAAGTCTCTGTTGGTACGAGCACTAGGCCAGTCTCCAAATGATTATCTTCCTAACTCACTAATCTTTTCATACATTATGTAACATACATATATTAAGTGCAACTATATCTGAGGTATGTTAGGTGTCAGAGATGAAATGACAAGCTAGGTACAACTATCCTCACAGAATTTGTAGACTTCTAATGGACCATATGTGCCCTAAAATAGTTAAAGAGTATAGTAGAAATCTTTCAACATTCACTACATAGTCTTCCATTTTCCTTGAAGATTAGTATTAGAAAAGAGATCCTCTAGAGTTTAGGAAAAATAATTTAATCTAGAATTTAATATAAACATAACGTTTGAATTATCATTGCTTTCCTACCTTCTTTACACTATCTTTTCTTTTGTATTTTTTCCTCACTCCTGTAGTAGGACTTGGATACATGTGGTTACCATTAGGGTCTGGTGGGATATTATATTAAAAATATATCATTTACAAGTATAAAATTTCATCTAAAAGAAGCCATAATTGTTTGGACTTGTTTAAAGATATGTTTTTAGTAACATAACTCATATTTTAGAACAATTTGGAAAAAATACGGGATTGTGCTGCTGATGCATTTGTAGAAGATTCAGGATACAAAGAACATTACTCAATACCAGTCATGGAACTTAATGGAAAAAGGTAAGGAACTTTCAGTAATTATTCACAGTAGCCAAAACTTGTTGAAAGTTAGGAGAAAACAAGGAAAGTGTCAAAATGCAAAGATTAACTTAATACCTCAGCATAGAGATCCTAGAACAATAACCCCCATGAATGAAATACAGACTCAACAAAATATTAAATAGTGTACTTATTGCTTCATGCTCTTTGGTACATTCTGTATAATAATCCTTAGAGGTGGTGATTAGTTCTTATAACTATCACTGTGATTACATGGGGATGGAGGTGAGGATCAAACCCTGGGGGCCTACTGAAAAGCAGTGGACTCAGCACAAAGCCCTTTAGTTCCATGAAGAATATGATTTAAAATCCTCTTCCTCTGCTGGGTCTTGTTCTGCCTGTCATCTTTTGAAGCTGGATGTTTCTCTAAGTTTTGCTAGGGTCTTTTTTGAATTATGTTCTTGGATTTTCATATCTTGGACACTGAAGTTTGGAAATATGGAAAGTAGAGCTGGGGGCATTATTATTAGGAGGTAGAGACTTGAGATTTAAAAGTATATAGGAGAGGTTTTTTGGTTTTGTTTTTTGTTTTTTTAAGGCATGGAAGTGGTTTAGAGAATAGGACCAAGTCTAGAACTCTGGAGAAGAGCAGCTTTTAAATGGGGTGGGGAGAAGCAGAGGAGAGAGCAAAGGAGACTGAGAAGGAATGATACAGGGAAGAGGACCCAGAAAGTATGATAGCATGGAAGCCAAATGGGGAGAATTTTTAAAATATGGAAATAGTTAAAAGCATCAAATTCAACAGAGAAAAAGGCCAAGTAAACTTAAGACTAAAGAGAGCACTCAGTTTGACAATGACTTGGTAAGAGAATTAGTTCTGGTTATAGGCTATGTGTAATAAGCTGGGTAAAGTTGGGGAGGGTTCATAGGATATGAAGAAGTAAAGACAAAGGTTATAAATTTTTCTCAAGATGCATGGCAATGAGGAAAATACCAGAAACAAGGCAGAGGGAGAAGCAGGATAAACAATGAAAGGTGGATCTTTCCATTAATACTGCCTGGAAGCTCACATGGTACTCGAGATGAAGTCAAAGACCATGTGGCTAATGACCTCCATGATTTGGGAGGGAGTTAAGTAATAGACCTCATGCCTTTAGAATGGACATTTAGTGTGCATCTTCCTGGAGGAGGAAATCTCTTGCTCAGGGATCCAGCATCTGTTGACATACTCCATGTACAACCCTTGCCAAGCTAAATAGTATCCTGGAAGCACCTCCGAATAATGCTTTATTTTCCCAGGTTGTAGTGTCTGGCTGGACACTAATGATCGTGGGATGCAGGGAATCAGGTGAGATGAAAGCTGTGCTTGGTGAGAGGTTGTTGTGGATGAAGAAGCATGGCTGGCATAAGCACACTGCCACTGAACTGTAAGGGATCCAGTCATATTGTTGCAATGGGATGCCATAGTGGAATTAGTTCTCTAGTTTCTGACTAATGCACAACATGTGGTCATCAGTGTTGGTGAACTGTAGTTAGTTGGATTTGAATTTACAGGCTTTCAAAATCAGCAGGAGTTGTTTCCCAAACCCAGCCAGCATGGAGTAAAAGTAAAAACCACAAGTGGAATACTAATCAGTATTTTCCTGGTTCCTGTACCAATTACTAGAGAACTTTCAGTCTCATAATTGCCACCCCCACATAGTTGTTCCTAGGAATCTCATATGCTCGTGGATCAGCTCTCAGGTACTATAAGATTTCTTCAGTTTCCTTCTTTCCTGTCTTAGTTCTCTGTAACGATCCACTGCTGGGCTCCAGGCACTCCATAGGCCCCATGAAGGTAATTCAGCACTAATGCCATTGCATTAGTGATGCTGTTGTTCTTGGTTGGGGATCTGGTGTCACCTCTGGGGCTGGCTCCTCCTCATGCCTGCTAAACAGCGTACATCAACTGTGAGACATGTTGAAGCCAATCCAATGAAGCAAGGAGAATTTCTTTCCTAATTTTATTGGTTTCAAGGAAGTGCTGCCTTGAACCCCTAACAATCTGGTGCGAAAACAACATGTTTAGTCATTTTCCTAACAGTTGTTCTTTTCTGTGATGTAGGGATCATTCTATGTTGGTGCAGGACCAGAGAATAATCTGAATGATTGAAAACATGCCTTCTTAAAAATCTCCCCTCTTTGATTTTATGTATCTTGATATTCTCTTTCCTCAGAATGGTTTATCTCCTAAGACACCCCTGGTCCCTTACGAAAATAGGATCAGTTCCACTGGCCCTCCAGGCATGCCTGGGAACATCGAAGTCCTAGATTGATTTTGGTTCAGGTTGGGTTCTTCTACCATACCAGAATCAAAAAGTAGGGACCACAGTCAGGTACTCAGGATTTGACCACCCATAAAACTACAAGAACTCATGAATTATTTATTAAGGTGACAATGACTGGAGGAAAAAGATTAATTTATTCCAGTACTAAAATGTCCTATTTGGGGGAGAGCATACCAGCATTGTGATACTGTTGTGGATATTAGGGGGCAGGTCAGAAATCAACTTAATATGCCAGTGGTATATCAGGGAAATGCGGTGCTGGAAGCTCCTCAGAAGCTGGGTGCCGATTCCCGGGCAGAATAATATGTAGGGAGTTATTTTAAAAGTGAGGCTCCCTTATAGTCCCTGCTGATGACTACACATAAGGTTTTGAGTAAGAACAGTGGTATGTCATTATGCAGTACTTGGATGAGGGCTCCCTCATGGCACTGGCCATCTGGGCGCTCTGTGCATGCAATATCATCTCTCTGCAGGCCAGTATAGGTTGTGTATCCAACCTTGGGTGGGGGCGTCCACAGAATTCTGTGGTAGAGACTTTCTCAGGGTAACCCACCTTTACCACTTCTTGCTTCTTCAGTTTCTAGGTAGGATAGCCCCCTGCTGATTCTAGCTGCTTGATTTGTATTGGATAAGTAAATTGAATTTCTAGAAGAAATCAACCCACATTCCCCTGGTGTGTGTTAAATTTATAAGTCTGTTTCATTGCCTCAGCAGTGATCTAAGAGTACATCACTGAGTACCAGGGCCCCAGGTGTAGTCAGCAGCTTCTGACCCCATAACAATTTACCACAGCCAGAGCTCGCTCCCTGGAGAAGTCCATAAAAAGAAGAGGTTGTAGGCACTGGGACTCTATGATGTGGTGCTGGGCCACTTGAAGACCAAAGGGCAACCTCAGTGTGATCCCCTATGCCCACATCTGTGGAGGTAGGATTACGGGACTTGGGGTATCTGTCTGTGGTGTCTACTCTTAGCAGCGTGTATGACACTGAAGAAAGGTGAGCTGTCTTCTTCTAGAAATTTAGTTTAGTCGTCCACTGTAAATCAAGCATCTAGGTATGATTCATACAGCTCCTTAGGCCCTAGAACCCATCACTACCATGATTTGAAAGCCTTCAAATCTGAGTAAGATTCAGAATACCTATTCCTCGATTTTGGAGCCTGCCTGGAGTCTAGTAAGTTAGGCAAGGCCCCATCCGTGAAGGTGGCACCTGCACAAGTCAGGGCCCACAGGAAATATGATAAGTCCCGCCACCTGGACTGGCACTGTATCTGCAAGGTGTGGGTGAAGACAGCCTTTAGTTTATATTTTTGTGGTCTAGTTTCCTTTGGGGAGGAGAGGATGGTGGATGGGAAGCATGACAACCTCAAATAAATGCGAACAGGTCCTCAAATATGCCTCCATCCCTGCAGAAGTCTATTATATTCAGAAAACTGGGATGGAAGTCAAGGTTAAGGAGGAGAGGATATTAGCCTCTGACCAGTTCATAACATAGTATTTCCCTAAGACCTTCTTTTTCAGTCAAGTACAATTTAAACTACAGTTTTATATTTAATTATTATAGAAAAATACAGTTTAGTGAGTATAGAAAAAAGTACCAAATTACTTCAAAGTCAGAAAGATTTATCTTTTTTTCTTTATTTTTTAATAGCTACTATGTGATCTGTTTTGAACTTGAAACTTACTATCATCAACTATATAAGACAAAGTGGTGGGGAGCCATAAATGAAGTCGTGAACAATCTGAAACCAAAAAGACTTCCACTAACAGATGCCCAATTACATGAACAATTTAAGAAAAAATTTGGTTTCAAAAAAGCTATGAAATGCAAGGTATTTCAGTAATTATCACATAATTTAGTGTAGGAAACTATTATAGATAATATTATTATAGATAAGTCTATGTCTCAAATTTTTATCTTAGGGATAAATATTAGGTTAAATAAAGCTTTCAATATGAAATAAAACTTCCACATTTTAGCAGCTTAGATGCTATATAATTCTGGATTATAAATTTCTGGTAGGGTTACAGAATAATCTATTAATGAACTGGATTGTGACCAATCTTCATAATGGCTAGTATTTATTGAGTGCTTATTTTGTGTGCCAGGCACTTTATAAATCCTTTTAAGAAACTTTTTCAAGGTACTCGTACTATTGTTATCATTCCTATGTTACAAATGAGAAATTTGAGGTGCAGTAAGTTAAGGATCTTCCCCAAATCACACAGCTAGTAAATGGCAGTCAGTCTTCAGTCCTGGGGAACCAAACCTGAGGAACAAACCTGTCATCCTGAATCAAATCACTATATCTGTTTCAACAAGCTTCATGTACAGCTTCTGGAACTGATAAGTGGTGAGCTCACCCATTTCAATGGATACACTGGCCTTTATTTACCATTTATTTATCTCAATGTCCATACATTTAACATTTTAATAACCTGTTCATTTAATTTTAAAATATTAAGTAGTCAGAATGTCTCAAAGAAGAGTATACTGTTTTTACCTCTGTTTTGAGAACTAGAGCAAAGAGGACAAATTGTATTTCTGTAACTATATATTTCTATTTCCTAGATTTCTAAATTAGATTGCTCTTCAATCAGAAAAGGAACCCAGTGATCTCCATTTGTTTAAGTAGTTCAGAAAGAAAATTGTCTATCCTGTTTTAATTGTCTCCGAAGAAGGATCTACAACTTCTCCTTAAAAAAAGAGGGAGAAAAAAACTTCCCAAAAATATTTTTTAAAGTTCTCAATGTTTCTTTTAGTTCTAATAACTTTAGTCTTTGTCCAGTGAGACACTATCCACATGGATCTTGTGAAAATTCTGTAACTGAGCACCAATCCTGTGATTATATTAATATATATTTATTAATTATGTTATATATTAACATTACATTTATTATAAATATATTAATATATATTTATTTTCCTTTTTTTCCTTAAGTTAAACTTTAAGTATACTTTGAAAAATTTATTCTGGCCCTCTTAATAATTTTAGAGCATCCCATTTGGTATGAAGTCTGCTGTTGAAAGAGGATTATCTGCTGTTTTCCATACATTTAGCCGTAAAACCTCAAGCTCAACCATCAATGTTTCAGATGAAGCAGGTTATACTATTTTCCATCATGCCGCTCTACACAACAGAGTTGCTATTATATGTCAACTGTGCAATGCTAACTTCAATGTCAACCAGAGACGCTTTATTATGTTTAGCCAAGGTACCATAAAGTTTTTAAAATTTAAACTGTTTTTCTTTTACTTATTACCCCTATTCAGAATTAAGAATGCATGTTGATTTTATTTTATTTTTAAGATTTTATTTATTTATTTGAGAGAGAGAATGAGATAGAGAGAGAGAGCATGAGAGGGGGAAGAGTCAGAGGGAGAAGCAGACTCCCTGCTGAGCAGGGAGCCCGACGCGGAACTCGATCCCAGGACTCCAGGATCATGACCTGAGCCGAAGGCAGTTGCTTAACCAACTGAGCCACCCAGGCGCCCCAAGAATCCATGTTGATTTTAGAGCAAGATTAAAATTTGGCATTGGGACCTAGAGCAAAGTTGAGGTTTTTGTTTCCCTTATTTCAGAGGGGCTCCTTTTAGTTTTCTAAGTATATCACTTATTGATCTCCTATATAGTATTATTTATTGCTTATTGTGTCTCCCTCACTTGAATATAAGCTCCTTAAAGGCAGTGATTTGGTTTACTTTGTTTGCCATGATATTCGAGTGCCTAGAAGAAAGCCTCAGGAAATAGTTGTTGGATGAATGCAGGGTAGCATTTGGTAATCACTGGGATAATTAATATACAGTGATGTACTATAGAAATTCAGAGAAAAGGTAGATAAATGGAGAACCCAGCAGGACATCCATTTCTTATCCCAGAGTTCTCAACCAGGGAATAGTATATTCACTATACATAAATATAAATTATAATTCATAACAAAAAATTCACCATAATAATAATTTTTTAAGTTAATGGCCCCTTTAAGGCTAATTTAGTTTTGACTTTAAAAAGCCATTTTTCCTGATTATTAGCTATGCATACCTATATATGTATTCATTGGAATAAATTTAACCAGTATAAAAATGATAACATTGAAAATGAAAGCAGAAGTCCTCCATAACTGAAGAGGGAAATAGAGATAAAATATCAGGAATAGCTGATACAACAATATTGGCAATAAGAATCGATGATTTTATATTTTAGCTAGCTATCTTGAAAAGTTGTGTTAAATTTTCACACACCAAAACAAAATGTTCTGCTTTAATCCTATTGACTACTAATAAATTCTATACTCTTACCAGTGTGATTAAAATGTTTTGATATTAAGATGCTTCCATTATTTGATTAACATGGAGCACAAATTCAGTTAAGTTTAAATGTAATGAGTACTCTGTTATTTAAAGATGTGCTCTGTTTTAAACCTTTTTTGGTTTAAATTTTGGTAAAATTTGGTAATTTTTTGGTGTGAAAAAAATCTTTGGTAAATTGAAATCTTTCGTTCATCTTGTGACTACTTGATTTCCATTTGGAATCTGTCCATTCCATTGGATAGATTTTGAAGTATGGAAAACGTATAACTCTACCTGCAATGTCTACGCATTATGACTTTACAACACAGAACTGCCCCAACTGTCAGTTTTGATCAGACACTTGAGAGGCAGTACCCCAGGTCTGCTCTGCCATGATGTCGGGGCATGCACCATGCCCAGATGGCTTGACCAAAGCTTCAACTCAATCCTGTTTGATGTAATCCTGCCTTTGGTATCCAAACGTAGCCACTTTGTTCTTATTCATATGAGTTTATTTTGACTAACTTAGGAAACTGCTGTACATTAATAATCATACTTCTCTGTGTATTCCCCTTTAAAACAGAGTCATCAAAAATGGACATGAGAAAAGAAAGAAATGGTAAGACATAAGTAAATATTTGGTGCATTTGAAAAGGTTATTGCATATATTAAAACTCTCCTTATAGTATTTAATCTCCAAAATGTTCTGTCACATGAGAACGTCACATAATGATGTTTTGTCTATATTTTGAAGTGTACATTTTTTTCTACCCATGGTCATTTATTTATATTTTTCTTAAGTCTTGGGGTTTTTTTCTTTTTTCTTCTTTTGACTGTGGAATTTGCAGTTACCTGTACTTATTTTTATAAAATCAGGCTAAAGTCATTTTTATGTCTTAATAAATAAATAAATAAATGCAGCTAATATTATTTAGATATGCTGCCATCTCGTGACATTAACAATCTGTGAGGTCTGAGGAATGAGGCATTCTTGACTGAGGTGAGAGATTTGACCTAAGTATTGAATACAGAGAATCAGAAAAAATTTTGAAGGCTGTATCTTCTATCTCTAAGAGACTATGCCTTCATACTCTACATAGGATAATTCAAGGAGGGTTTTTTTTTTTCAGGTTTTAGTCATATTTAGTTGATCAATGACCACCAACTTCAGTTTGGTTTATTTATCCCCAGAATACACAGTCAGCAACACAGTAAACCTGACATGAAAGTGGTGAATCGTAGCATGATTTAGCCATTCTTCCAACTCAGGAGTTTGACATCTTTTTTTAATTCCAGTATAATTAATGTACAGTTTTATATTAGTTTCAGGTGTATACTATAGTGATTCAACAATTCTGTACATTACTCAGTGCTCATCATGACAAGTGTGCTCTTTAATCCCCTTTGCCTACTTCACCCATCCCCCACCTACCTCCCCTCTGGTAACCACCTCCTCCCTGGTTTGTTCTGAATGTTTGTCTGTTTTTTTGTCTCGTTTTTTCTTTGTTTGTTTAGTTTCTTAAATTCCACGTGTGAGTGAAATTATATGATATTTGTGTTTTTCTGAGCGACTTATTACACTTAGTATTATATCCTCTGGATCCATCCATGTTGTTGCAAATGGCAAGATTTCATTCCATTTTATGGCTGAGTAATATTCCATTATATATATACATACCACATATTCTTTACCCATTCACCTATCAGTGGACACTTGGGCTGCTTCCATATTTTGGCTATTGTAAATAATGCTGCAATAAACGTAGATGTACATGTATCCTTTTGAATTAGTGTTTTTTAATTCTTTGGGCAAATACCCAGTAGTGTAATAACTTTATCATATCGTAATTCTATTTTTAATTTTTTTGAGGAATGTTTCCATACTGTTTTTCACAATGGCTGTACCAGTTTGGATTCCCACCAACAGTGCATGAGGATTCCTTTTTCTCCACCTCCTTACCAACACTCATTGTTTCTTGTGTTTTTTATTTTAGCCATTCTGATAGGTGTGAGTGATATCTCATTGTGGTTTTGCTTTGTATTTCCATGATAATTAATTATGTTGAGCATCTTTTCATGTGTCTGTTGGCCATCTGTATGTCTTCTTTAGAGAAATGTCTGTTCGTGTCTTCTGCCCATTTTTAAATTAGATTATTTGTTTTTTGAGTGTAGAGTTTTATAAATTCTTTATATGTTTTGGATATTAACCCCTTATCAGATATATCACTTGCAAATATCTTCTCCCATTCAGTAGGTTGCCTTTTAGTTTTGTTGATTGTTTCTCCTTCACTGTGCAGAAGCTCTTTATTTTGATGTAGTTCCAATAATTTATTTTTTGCTTTTGTTTCCCTTGCCTCAGGAGACATGCCTAGAAAGGTGGTGTTATGGCTGATGTCAGAGAAATTACAGCCCATGCACTCTTCTAGGATTTTTATCTTTTCAGGTCTCATATTTAGGTCTATAATACATTCTGAGTTGATTTTGTGTGTGGTGAAAAAAAGTGGCCCAGTTTCATTCTTCTGCATGTAGATGTCCAGTTTTCCCAACACCATTTATTGAAGAGACTGTCACATTGCATCTTCTTGCCAAGGAGAGTTTATTTTTAAAGAAACCATTTGCGAAGACCTGAGTCTAGTGGGGGAGGGCAGCAGTTATTCAAACCAGACATCTTCCACTGGGGGAGGAATGCAACTAACCTAAGATGATCTTAGAGACAATAAGTGTGCTGACCTCATTCTCCTCCCCCAATCTCCTGCCAGGGATCCCCACGGGCAGACACCGACAGAAAGCCGAAGGACAGGGATTGCAAATTCTGCAGGGTGGGGAGTAAAGGGTGGGAGGGCATGGAGCTTATCTGGCCCACCCACCCTGTAGCAATTTGCAGTTGAGTAACAATAGTGTGCTTCCTGCATTACTGCTTTCTTTTTTCATTTTCTAAGTATCATTTATCCCTACCTTATATGATATTATCTCTCTATTGTGTCTCCCTCACTTGAATAAGCTCCAGTAAAGGGCAAGGATTTGGTTCACTTTGCCATGATATTCTAGTGCCCAGAAGAAAGCCTGGCATTAGTAAGTGATTAGGAAATAGTTGTTAAATGAATATATGAATGGATGGATGCAGGGTAGCATATGACAATCACTGGCGGAATTAATAGCGTCATGTAATACAGATATTCAGAAAAAAGGAATAAATATGGCTTTCAGGTCCCAACAGAGCATCTATTCCCTCAACCAGCGTTCTCAGAGAATAGTTTCTTCAGACTACATAAACCCCTCCAGAACTTCGCTAATTCTAGCATGTCTTAGGCCAGTGTTTCTCATCCTTGTAGCACTGTTGACATTGTGGGCTGGATAATTCTTTGTTGTGGGGCGCTTTCCTGTGCACTATAGAATGTGCAGTATTTTTTTTTAACCCGTGTTGTTTTTTTTTATTTTTAAAATTTTTTTAAGATTTTTTTTTATTTTTTTTATTGTTATGTTAATCACCATATATTACATCATTAGTTTTTGATGCAGTGTTCCATGATTCATTGTTTGTTCATAACACCCAGTGCACCATGCAAAACGTGCCCTCCTCAATACCCATCACCAGGCTAACCCATCCCCCCATCCCCCTATCCTCTAGAACCCTCAGTTTGTTTTTCAGAGTCCATCATCTCTCATGGTTCGTCTCCCCCTCTGACATACTCCCCTTTTCTTCCTCTCCTGTTATCTTCTTCTTTTCCTTTTTTCTTAAAATATGTTGCGTTATTTGTTTCAGAAGTACAGATCTGTGATTCAACAGTCTTGCACAATTCACAGCGCTCACTGTAGCACATACCCTCCCCAATGTCTATCACCCAGCCATCCCATCCCTCCCACCCCCTTTTTTTAAGATTTTATTTATTTATTTGTCAGATGAGAGAGCACAAGCGGGGCAGTGGCAGGCAGAGGGAAAAGCAGGCTCCCTGCTGAGCAAGGAGCCCGATGTGGGACTCAATCCCAGGACGCTGGGATCATGACCTGAACCGAAGGCAGACGCTTAACTGATTGAGCCACTCAGGTGCCCAATTAAGCACACTTTAAAGTAGTAAGAGGGGGATATAAGAACAGTACTCCTGCCCTCAGGTTGTGCTGAAATGTTTTTTTTTTTTTTTTTTTTTTTTTTTGAACGAGGGGGAGAAGAGAGGGAGAGGGCAGGTAGGGAGGCTTGTGTGGTTTTTAAAAAATACTCGTCAGGTCATTTTGATGTTTCTACTGCTGAGAGCAGCTAACAGCCTTTTGTTGATTGACATGAACCACCATGTTCCATAGTCCTATGATTGGGTCTCAGTCTTCTGGGGAGCCTGTGCTCCTGGACTGTGAACTTCACATGTACTCTCAGTCCTGGCCCCCACCTTAGGTGTGACAGGGTGGCTGGAGGGGGGCCAGAGTTGGATATTTCCCTTCCCCCCCAGGTAGGTTAGGCTCTGATAAAACCCAGCAGGTTAGGCTCTGGTAAAATAGTTTCTCCTGAGGGCAAGCCTTGTTAAGAGAAATGGAATGCTCTGGTATATCTCAAAACGGTTCCTTTTCCCCTGCCTCTCCGCGCCCCCCCCCCACCCGCAAGCATGAGGGGATATTTCTCTGATATCTACCATGAGGACCTTGTCAAACTTCTGGAGTTAAAACTCACTGAAGCATGGGGACCCCCTGGGACTGGGTCCCCCTCGAGTTTTAACTCCTCAACTTATCCACAATGAGCCACCAGCAATTTGTCAATTATAGTTCAGATTTTCCTACTGTTACCAAAACCCAGGTTCAACTGCCTGCTATTCAAAAAGCCAATTCTTGAGAGACGAGTTTTTTTTTCTTTTAAAGATTTTATTTATTTATTTGACAGAGACACAGCGAGAGAGGGAACACAAGCAGGAGGAGTGGGAGAGGGAGAAGCAGGCTTCCCGCAGATCAGGGAGCCCGATGTGGGGCTCGATCCCAGGACCCTGGGATCATGACCTGAGCCGAAGGCAGACACCCAATGACTGAGCCACCTAAGCGCCCCTCGAGAGACGAGTTTTGATTAGAAAGGAATACAAGCTTTATTCAGGAGGCTGGCCACCGGGGGAGAAGGCAGACTCTTGTCCAAAGGCTAACTTCAAGTTTTCTGCCTGGCCCAAGAAGGATTTTTGAAGGAGTTTAGGGCAGTTAACCGTAAATCGGCTACATTTCTTTAATTACAGGCAGACTCAATGGTGTCAGTTATAGACATTATCTTCATTATCTTCATGCTTAGAGGTTGTGCAAGGGGGTTGTGCAGAGGAGTCTGGTTCCTTAGTGCCAAGGGGCTATGCAAGAGGTTCCGGTTTCTGTTTTGTGTTGTGCAGAAGCCTTCTGTTCTTTCTGGAAAGAATGCATAATCTATAGATAAACAATGAAAGGTTAATCAATCACTTGGGCCAAGGGTGATTGCTAAAAACTTAAAGACTACTAGGTTGGCTGGAGGGGCTGAGGCAGCTTTACTAGTCTAGCACTAGGTCCTGTGGAGATTTCTTTTTAGTCACTTATGCTTCTCTGTATCTCTGTCTGTATCTCCAACTTTGGGGGGCAGCATTTTTGCTCTGAGACCTCACTTCTCAATCATATCCAGGAAGAGTTGTTGATTTCTCAGTTTGTTTAGTTTTCTACTTGCTGTTAGGACAGAATGGTGACTTAAGCTCCTTCCATGCCAAACCAGAAACTGGAAGGCTAAGCAGTGATTTTAGATAGATAAATCAGGTCAGATATTACAGATGATCAAAAACTATGATGTAAAGCTTAGACAAGGAAGGCAGGCCAGAGGCCATTGAAAGTGTCTGAGTTGGGAGAAAACCAGTGCTTCACTGAGGAATTATCATTTAGGCTGAGAAATATGAGTTAGCTGGATGCTGGTCAGAAAAGCATTGTTTGGGAGAAGGAAGCTCTTATACAGCAGGAATAGCCCAAGGTGACCGGATAATTCACCATCCAAATCAGGGAGACTTGAAAATGGAAGAGGCACTATTAATCATCATGCTGGGGCAACAGGCATAGATGAGTACTTTCCTGGGCGAGCTGGGTCATGTGGCTGGCTACCCTGCATTTGAGGAGCTGCAAGAAGGCCCAAGTGAGGAGAACAAGTTGTGTATGTCATGGGTTTTTTGGTGGGAGGGGGATAGCTTGCAGTTCAGGTTAAATTGGAGCCAGTGGATCCTTTTCCTATATTCATGATCAGATGTCCCTGAGAAGCCACTGAAAAGTTTTAAGCCAGTAGGTAAGAAGATCCGATTTATATTTTGAAATAAGGGATTGGTGAAGGGCAAGAACAAGGTGGGAGGCTTAGAGTGGGGAGGTGGTGGCAGTAAAGATGGGTTGTAAAGGTACTTAGACTTGGTGATGGACTGGTTTTGGAGATGAGATGAGAAGGAGATACTAAGCAGTCTTTCAGGTTACTGGTTTGTAGAACTGGCTGGATGGTGATATTCTTCACTGATTTAGGCAGCAGGGAAAGAGGACCAGGTTTGGAGGGAAAGATAATTCAATTGGAACATGTTAAGTTTGAGGTGGTGTGTGGAGACACCTAGTGAGATGTTGGAGAAAAATATGTGGAGCTTGGAGGATAAAAACAGATCTGAGACGTAATCCTGGGAGTCACCAACTTTTAGGTGATAAATGAAGTCACTGCAAAGATAAAAAGGCCCAAGACAGAGCCTTAAGGCTCATGTAGGCATCAGGAGAGTGAGAACGTCCCAAAGGAGACTATGAAGGAGTAGCCAGAGGGATAGGAGAGAAACAGGAGGTTGTGATACCACAAAAGCCAAGGGAAAAAAATATTTTAAAGAGGAAGAACCTTACTGTTGAGAGGTTAAGGTAAGAATTGAAAAACACCCACTGGATTTCATAACATAGAGGGCTTTTGTGAGCGTATTTTTCCTTCAATTTCAAAGGATATTGCTTCCTACTACAAAACATTTAAATAAAATGGAAAATAATTTAAACAAGAAACAGCTTGTTTGATCACAAGACTATTTTATACATTGACTTAATCTTTCAAATATTTAATATTTTCAATGTTATTCTTAACTTATAAAGAAGGATTGATTTTTAATGGTCAGACATCCTGAGTTAAAGACATATAGAATTGCCTAAATTAATCCTTTTAGTGCTTATCTTGGAGCTTTTATATCAAAATATTAAAGCTCTGTGGATGGATATCAAAAGATATTTTATTTATTTATTTATTTATTTATTTATTTATAAGATTTTATTTTCTTGAGAAGGGGAGAGAGAGAGAGAACAAGAGCAGCAGGGAGGGAGAAACAGACTTTAATCCCAGGATGCTGGGATCGTGACCTGAGCTGAAGGCAGACGCTGAACTCACTGAGCCACCCAGGTGCCCCAAAAAGACATATGTTTTACATAGACATGTTAGATATTGATCACTTAAGTGATTGTCTATCCATTTTAGGCCCAACACCTCTACATCTGGCTGCACAGGCTTGCTCCTTGGAAACAACCATCTGTCTACTCTGTTTCAAAGCTGATTACACGCTTTCTGAAAAAAGAGGCTGGATGCCAATTCACTTTGCTGCTTTCTATGACAATATTGGTATCATCATTGCTCTCTGTAGGAAGGATCCTAGTTTGCTGGAAGCAGAGGCAACAGCTGAGTAAGTTATTAAGCATTTGTAAAAATATAAATTTCTGCTTTTGTGGCTTGCCTCAAACACTGACACTAAAAGGAATGGTTGGTATCACTGATGTGAAAGACTATAGTAAGGCTTACTCTGTTCTGGTCACTATCTTCTTCGTCTACCACTTGCCTTTAGAATGTATAAAGACAGAACTTCTACTAGCCTATCCATGCTATCTCAATGGTGTGGCCCTACAGACTAGTTTATCAAGTTAACTACCAAGTGCTCTGGAAGAAGCCTGAGACTGGGGAGAGAAATGTGCTCTAAATTGGAACCTACCCAACCGGGAGGCAGCTCAAGTGCTCCAGACCAATGTGGATAGGCCTCGGATAACAGGAGAAACATCTAATGGTATCCAGAAGAGAAACATGTTAAAAAGAAGAAAATAACCTTGGGGGCACCTGGCTGGGTCGGTTGGATAGAACCTGTGACTCTTGATCTCAGGGTTGTAAGTTAAAGCCCCAGGTTGGGTGTAGAGATTAGTCAAAAATAAAATCTTTTAAAAACAAGTTTTTAAAAAGAAGAAGATAGCAGGAGGGGAAGAATGAAGGGGGGG